TTTACATAATTGATCGATGGCAATAAAATGGACAAATTGATCTTCATAATAGATCTACATGGCAATAAAATGGACTTAATATTTTACCAATTAAATCTATCTAAAATTTTACCTATCACAGCGGAAGGAGGATTTAGTAAAGCATATAGAGTAACTAGATTAAATCCTGATAATAATCAGTATGAAATAGTTGCAATAAAAAAATTACACCTTCTTTACATTATGGTGATATAATTCTAAATGAAGTAGCTATTAAATTATTTTTCAAATATTACTTAATATAATAAATTATATTTATAATTTTTAGCTGAAATCATTATATAAATGTTATAATGAGACTTGTATTATTAAATATTATAGTATTACGCAAGATCCTATAAAAAAAGAATATTTATTAATTCTGGAGAATGCTTATAGTAGAGATTTGTTGAGTTATATTTAAAAGAATTTTGATAAAATGATTTGGAAGAAAAAATTAAATATTTTGTAAAAAATTTCATTTAGGTATTTATAATTTTGATTTTATTGATTTATTAAATTTTAATTATTAAAAAATTTTCATTTTTTTTGATCTTTAGACTTTATACAATTCATAATAATGATTTTATTCATTGAGATCTTTATAATAGAAATATTTTAGTAACTCATTATAAAGAATAAGAATATTGGTATATTGCAGATTTTGGTTTATCACAATCTGCAGATGATTCACAAATTAGTGATAAAATATATGGTGTTATACCATAAATTGTGCCTGAAATATTTAATGGTGCAAATTTTTCAAAGGAATCTGATATTTATAGTTTGGGTATAATCATATGGGAATTAACCTCAGGTTGTAGACTTTTTGCCAATTTTGAGTATGATGTCGATCTTATATTTGCAATATTTTAATCCTTTAAATAGACCTTCTATAACAGAAATTTTTGAAATAATTACTCAATGATATATTGGAGAAGAAAGCGCTAAAAAATTTGAATAATCTGAAAAAAAAGATTGCAATTAATAGAATTTGATTTATTGCCAGAATTATCTGACCATATCTCTAATATAAATTAAGGTATGAATGTTAAGTTTATAATTGTAATAAAAAAATATAATATTTATTTTTAAACAAATAATTTATAAAATAATAATTAAATTTAAATCTTCTTTAGAATATATGTCAAGAGAATATGAAATTGTTATAAATAGGTATAAATTATATCATATGTAATTTAATTATTGATAAATTCTTAAATATTTTATAATTACATTTAGGTTTACTTTATTGGATCCAGCATTAAATTCTGAATTTAATAATAAATTACATATAAAACTAATTTTCAAAAGTAAAGCATTAAGTTCTTTGATTTAAAAAACTTTATACATAAAATTGATTTTTAAAACTAATAGGTATTAATATAATAATTAATATACTATAAAATTAAATTTATTTATTATTAATTATTTTATAATTTCAATTATTTAGATTATCATTATTAAATTCAAATTCTGCTATTCAAATTTCTTCAAATTCTCAGTATTCAAAAGGAAATAATATTAAAAAAATTCACCCATTTAATATTAATGAATTAAATATTAATATTCAAAATAATAATAATAAGTTAATATTATATATTTCTTTTTATTAATTTAAATTAATTAACGATAATTTAGCTTTAGAATTCATTAATCCAACATCACAACTTAAATCTAGTTCTATACCAATTTTATTTATTTCTTTTGATATAAATGCAAATATATGCAATTATTGTAGATTTAAATTTTCTATAACAACTTATAGTGATCAAAAATATTGTAAAAATTGTTTAATGAAATATATTAACCATTTAGCTAATAATAATAATTATCTAGATATATAAATTGGTATAAATAATACTCAATGCAAGAAACATAATCTAAAAAACTCAAATATTTGTATACAAAATATTCGTGAATGGTATAGAAATTGCTCTGAAATTCCATATTTTCATCAAATTGTTGTAGATAATCTATTTCTTCTTCATTATAGAAATTATCAAAAAATAATTAATGGAAATTGTAAATCATGAAAGAACATTTAATCAAACAATTTGCTAATACTTATCCAAATGGTAAAAAATTTTTAGCTTTAGATCAATGGTTTTATCATTTTTTTAAAAGATATAGATTTACTTTACAGCTTAAAACAAAGATGATCAAAAACTTCCTGCTCATCTTAATGATAAGCTTTTAGAATTTCAAGATTTATTATTGAAAAATAAAAAAAATTTGAATATGAACTTTTTGAAATTAAAAACATGAATGAGACTCCTGTTTTTTTAATATAGTTGAAAATTTAACTATTAAAGAACTTGATGCAAACTGTACAAATCTGAATAACTAGAAATGAAAAAATCAGTTTATTGTATTTTTACAGTTCTTGCAGATGGTACAAAATTACCACTAATTATTATCTTTAAAGGTAAAAAAATACCAAAAGATTTACCTTCTGAAATTATTATATTAATGTATCTAAAAGATGGATGAATGAATTCAGAATAAAAACTTGATTTAATAAAGCTTGAGGAAAAAAACTTAGAGAAAATGAATTAATAAAAAAAGAGTACTTCTTGTTATGGATAGTTTTGAAGGTTATAAAACAAGTGTTATTAAAAATATTGAATTAAATGAAAATACTGATTTAGTAATTATTCCTGATAGTCTTACTTCTGTTATTCAACTACTTGATGTTTGTTTTAATAAACTATTTAAAGATAAACTTCATGAGAAATGGAATGCTTAAATGAGTTCAGGTCAATTTACTTATACTAAAGGTATAAATTTAAAAAACCTAATTATAATATTATTTGTAAATGGATTCTTGAAGCTTAGGTAGAAATTCTGAAAGAAATGATTATAAAATTATTTAAAAGATGTGGTATTAGTAATGTAATGAATGGATTAAAAGATGATTTATTTAGACAAAATAAAACTGAAGAAAATAATGATGAAAGGGAAATATTAAATATAGATAGTGACTTAGATGAAAAATATTCAACTGATGAATCTGATAATTTAGATAAATAGATTTTTTTTAGAATGAAATAAAGAATAATTTTTTTAAAAAAAATACTATAATAAAATTTTATTTTGAATTTTAAATAAATTACACTTTTTATTTTAAATAACAGTGATACTTATTTTACTATTTTAGAACATTTTTACTCAAAATTAGGGTGATGCTTAAAATCAGGAGGATACGGTATCAGATGTAAAATGCTAGTTCAAATAATAAATTCATCTTTATTAAAAAAGGTGAGGTTCTAATATAAACTTAAACAAATTCTCTAACATTTCTAGTAGTTCAATAGATTGAATATAATAGGTGAGAAGAGAATAATATTCATTAAGAATTAGTGTAGATCTGTTGTAAAATTTAAACAAAGTAGATAGACGTATACCTTAAATATTAGAGAATTCATGCATTTAGCCTCTAGCTTAATTAGCTTGATAATCACAGAAAAAGTTAGTCAGGAATGTTTAGAAAGTTTACCTCATATCTATAATTATGCCATGCTTGATTGATTAAAATGTTAGCAATTTTTTCTTTCTAAAGATTGCATAAACTATGCAGAAGTATGCTTAAGTATCTATAACATTTACTATATAAAAATTAAACTAATAACTGTTTTAATAGATTTCTTTAGCTGATTAATACTAATTTTAAAAGTACAAGATGCAGTTAAATATGATCATAGTTGAACTAGTCAGATTTGCCAGATATTACGTAAACCTGAACAAATAGTATGGTTCTTTTTTTAATATATATATAAAATATATATATTAAAAACTATACATGCATAATATTCATAATAAATAGTCCATATTATACAAAATTTAATACCATACTATATCAGATTTGTGCGAATATTCTATGAAAGAATTCAGAGCTAAAGAAAACATAAATCAGCTTCACATTATAAGAAAATTTTAACTTAAATATATCAGTCTGACTGTTCCTTTATTCGTTATTAATCAGAGATTTTTATATAAGAAAGTGAATCTCTATATTTAAGATAATTACTTCTTTTAAACAACCTATAATTTTAGTATGATTAAAGGATTTATCTAAACATTTAGTGATTGAAAAGTTTAGAACTCTCTTGATATTTTTTAAATGGTCAACTAATGTAACGTCTCAATTAAGTATATCAGATAGTAGTTTAAGCTTTTTTTAATATAATCAATGTACATATTAAATGTATTTTTATTAACTGAAATGAAGTAAAACATCTGTATTTCTGTTTATGACAAATACAGTTAAAATATAAGTTGTTAATGTTCAAATAAATTGATTATCTTTAAACTTCTCATATTGAATTGTGAAATCTTTAAACATCATTAGATTATGAAATTAGGCTATAAAATTGGTCAAATTTTAAATGACAACAAGGAGTATTACCTTGAAAAACACTTTCATTTCTAAATATGCTATTTAGAAAACAAGCATTAGTGTTATTGGATTATTTAGAGAACATAAATTTTTAAAGACATAAATATAGTACTTTTTCAAAAGGACATTAAATTTTGTGAGAAATCATAAGCACAAATATAAATAAAATTTTTTGTTTGATATCATTAAACTGAAGGTGATAATATATACTTATATGAAGCTAATTTAAATTTGAATTTAATGTTAGTAAATAAGAAATAGCTGAACTATATTTGTTTTTTTTTATAAATATTCTAATCACTTAAACCTTTAACTAAAATTATTGCTGAATAAGCTTTCCTAGTCATCCTTTATTTCAAATTTGATGAAATGTACTTATAATGATAAAAAGTTTATAATTAATTAATTTAATAAAATGTAAAAATTTTTCAATAGGATAGGCATTGATCTTTATTAACTTTTATGCAAAAAGAATAAGTTCTTAAAATATTGAATTAATAATGATGTGATATAATTTATAGTTATCTATTATTTAATAATTATTTAGTAATCTATGTAAGTTTATTAGTAGGTTATTTTAAAAATGCTTGATAAAATATTCACATTATCAATGTCTAATTTGACGACTTCTATTAAAACCTTACAAGCAGAACATTCTGTTTCAACAGAGTCAGTTGATCTAAATCTATCAATTCATTTATTTTAATGAGAAGCATTTCATGATCTAAGCTAAAGATAGTCTAATAATTATTTTCAAATTTCAATTGAGTTACAAATTAATTGCGCTATAAGAAAATTTAATTGCACCACAAGTTGCAAATCAATTGTGCTATTTTTTTTAATTATAGTGACCATCTATAATCTAAGTCTTAAACCTAAGCTCTATTAAGATATACTAGCAATTTTGTGGTATCAGAAAAGAGTACATTCAAAGCTTATTGTATTCTCGCATATATTAGTTTAAATAAAATTTTGTTAAGAGCATCAATAGCGATAATTTAACCTTTTGTTTAAATCTATATCCTCAATTAGTTTAGTCTTTATCTGAATAATTTGTGATCTATCATTGGAGACATATTTTCAATTTTTTTTCTTTTAATTGATTTCATCTATAATCACTTTATAAAGAGAAATTATTTAAAGTAAAAATATGTGAAAATTTTCAACTGTTTCGATATTTTGAAGAAACAAAAATTGGAAAGGTTACTTGATATCTAAAGTGGTATTTAAAAGAGTGTTCACTCAAAAACTCAAACAAAAATCAATTCTCAAAAAAGAACCAACTGATCTTTTACAGAAATCCATTAATGTTTTTGGTTAGAAAAAAGCCAATAATATAAAGTTAGTTCAGAAATTTCTTAAGGATCTAAAAACATAATAGAATCTCTGCTAATAAAACTTAGAAATCTATATTTTCTAATTTTTATATTGTTTCCTACACTGATGTATAAATGCATAAGTAAGTCAAAATCATAAAATTTTTATTATTAAATATAAAAATAGCTATCGATTATTATATGAAATTAAATAATTCTAGTATCATTAGCTTTTATTATTAAAGTTATAATTATTGTTAAAAAGCTATCATTAGAATAAATATGTGTATATTATTTTAAAAGATAATAATATTATAAAGTAAGATTTTTTTTTTGACCATAAAGTTTACAAGTTAAAGAAATAATATATTTTGTATTTTAATAAAAGGATTTATTCAATTTGAATGTTTGAAAGTAGGACTATTAGTTAAATACTTTAAACAAAGTAATTTTATAAAAATGTTTTATATAAGCAAAAATACACCTTATTTAAATAAAATTCTATGCTTATTTTTTTATACTACTGAATCAAATTATAAATTTGTTTAAGATCAGTATATGTGATCTGTCAATATTTTCTCTAGCAAATATATTTTTTGACATTATAACTAGTTAATAGTTCCTATTAATTAATTTTTTTAGTTTTTCTCCTAATGACAAATGAATTTTATATTAAATATATCTGATCATAATATTTAGATAATAATAAATAGTATAAAAAGTAAAAATGTTAATTAATATATTTGTATTTTAATAGTTAAATTATAATAATTTCTTGCATTTTCAATAAGTTTTTATGAAGATATTTGGTAAATAAGGAATGGTCATAATAACTGAATTTTAATTATTCTTAAATATAATTTTTATTTTTCTTAAATAATAAAGAATTGATAAAGTTTATTTAATAAACTCTCAGAAATTTTTATATACATATTTATATGTTTCGAATAAATAATTTTGAATATCAAGAAAGTTGCAATATTTTATAATTATAATTATCTATCCTACCAACTTTACCTAATTTCTTAATGAAACTTTACTATACAGATACTTTAAAACTTACCAAATTTACTCGATACTTAACAAAAATTTATCCTAAATTTTAAATCATACTATCCTATCAACTTCTTAACACCTTGATATAATTTAGCAATTTTGCTATTTTATTTAACTAAAAATTATTTATTTTTTTCGTCTTGAATAATATAATGATCAATTTAACCTTTAGTTCAAAAGTTATTAATTAATTATATAAAAAAAATAGATTGGTTATTTGTATCGTAACGTCAAAATTATTTAAATTACAATAAACTTTTTAAATACAATTATATAGTCAGAAAAAAATATTAATTTAAAGAATTCATAGAAATACAATCAATTGTTTTCTTTAGATTTATCCTTATTATCACAAATTCTAATACTTTTGAAAATATTAATCTAATATAAGAAATAACATTTTAATTTTATATAAATCTAATAATTATCCTATTTTACATTCTATTAGTCACAAAATATTATGATGAAAAAATGTTTCTATAAAAATTTATAAAGAAATTTTTTATTGATTTGAGAATGAAAATAATTAATAATACTGCACTTCTTAAAATAAGATAGATAAAAATTTTACTAAAAATAAATGCATTTTAATATTATTACAAAAAATAAATCTATAATTCTATAACCATTTAAGTTATATTAATGAAAATTATCTTACTTGATTTCTGTTGAAATTATACTTATAATTAGAAAATAAAAGATAAATATTTATAACTTTATATCATTCAAGTTAGAAAAATATTTCTATAATTATAAACAAGTTTTTTTAAACATTAAAATTTTTTATGCAATTAGAATAAAGTGTTTGTTATTTCATTTGTTTATGTTATTCTGTTTATAATTATGTAAAAAATTTAGTAGAGAAATCAGATTCTGATTAATTTATAAAGCTATCTACTTAGAAAATAAAATTGACACATTTTTGTTAAAGTACAGATAATTTTGAAACATAATTTAAAAATACTTATTAATTCTTAATTATAAATAAATAATATCAGAGAAAAATTAATTAATTTCTAATTGATTGTCTTTGGAAAAAGGAAATAAAGTATAGCAAGAAACTAATAAATATTTTATTAAATTTTTTATTAATATTATGAATTTATAAAATAACAAATTTATTTATATATTTATATCTTATTAATTTAAATACACATTGATTTTTCAATTTACATTTTTTAGTAAATAAAAAATTAATAATGTTAGATATTATTTAACCATTTCATATAATCTTTAGATTAAGAAATTTTATAAAATTTATATTCATCCAAAATTTTCACACATCAAAATAATTATTAATGCATATTAATTTAAATAATTGTAAAGATATAATAAATAATTCTAAAGAAAAACCAAGAAATGAAGATATTATTTTGATGCAAATATAATTGATTTTAAAGTAAAATATGTTTAAAATCTTTAGAATTTCCAGTTTTACATTTAAGCGCTTTTTTATAACCCAATTTATATTTTAGTAGAAGTCAAAACCTTTCAATTTTAATGGGTTTTGATGGATGGTTTTCAACAATTTCTATTTCAATGCTCATTTTATCAACTTATTGAAAAATGCTTAATCAATAATAGGGATTAATCTGATATAATTTATTACTTAATTTTAAATTAAAAGTTTCTTTTATAATATTTTGAATTAATTTATATAAGATATATCTTATTTAAATAATATGATGCACATTTAGTAAAGGTGAATCTAATTCATAATTATTTAAAACCTTTATAGTATACTTTATCTTAATAAATTATAATTAGTCTAATTTATAATTTATATAAAATAAAATTTTTGTTAAAAATTGAAATTAATATTTTTTAAAGTTATAAAACATCAATAAGTCATTTTTATTAAATACAAATTATATAAAATGATTTTAATAACAAACTTTAAAATAATAAATTTCAAATATGAAGTAAGAAAATATAATAAAATGATGTTATAATTATAAAGAGATTTAATAACAGTTTAATAAATACAATTTTAAGAAAATAGTCTATATATGAATCAAAGTCAAAATATATTCTATTTACTTTCTTTTATAATATTTTATATTTATATGATAAAAAAAAATTTACATATTAAAATTGAATTTCATCAAGTTTATTATATCATTATTTCCCAATTTATTTAAACTTATAAAAGTATTCTTATCTTCTTTATTCATTAAATTTTCTTTTAAAAGATCTTTATTTAGATGTTAGAATCAGATTTAATATTTAGAACAGATAGCAAAGTGGGCTTTCTTATTTTATCATATAAATATTGATCATTTTGCCAATCATTTTTTGATATTATTACATAACATGAAAAGCTGATTTTTCAAGTTTTTTATATTAATTTAAAATATTGTATAGATTTATATACTTACAAACTCTGCCAATAAATTTTCTTTATAATTTTTAGTATCTTATTCAAATAAAATAAAATATATAAACATTAATTATTGCCAAATAACTTTTATATTTACTTTAATAATAAGAAAAATTTTAGCTAGATGCGAATTTTTCTTGTTAATATCTTATTTATTTGTAAGCAAAGATAGTTTGTGTGAGTTTGTACTCTCATATTGATAAGAAACGATGATTGCTAAAGTCATAAATATATTATTAAACAATTATATTATAATTTTAAGGAATGTTAAATTAACTACATTTTAAGTATAAAATTAATGTAAAAATAATAAATAAACAATTTTATTGAATGTGAAGTTAAGCGTGAAAATATCAAATACATTTATAATGTAAAAATACAAAAATAAAGAATTAAGTGAAAAAATAAATTTTTTTTAAAAAAAAAATGTGATAAAATGCTATATTAAAAGTGTGAAATAAAATATAAATAATAAATTAATAAAAAAATTATGATTTATCAAAATATTAATAAGTTAATTAATTAATTCCAAATTCTATTACCAATATAGCTTAAACAATTCTAATGTTTTTTCCAATTTTTCATCTATACTTTCTTTTATAAAAACCATTTCATTAATATTATTTTCCTATAGATCTTCCTGATTTTCTAAGTTTTTATTATTTTCTTTAACATCATTGTCAAATGCCTTATTCAATATATTCTGAAATACCTTGCAATGATACTACTATTATAAAGAAATTGATAGTAATGTGGACATCTTTAATTTGCTTAAATAAAGTATTCTATGTGATAGCTATGACTATATGATAAAATGCCACCTGGTACTTCTGATGACAGGGTACATGAATCCCAATCACAAAATCTATCTAATCTGAAATGAAAAGATGAATTCTAATCTTTTTTGATCTACTACTTTATCAAGTATTGGTAGATTAAACTGCTAATACTTCTTTACCTTTTTTTTATTGTATGTCATGATTATTCCAAATATAATAAAATAAATCCAGAAGAAAAATAACAGTTTTTTTTTAAAAATTCTAATTGCTTTACTGTATAAATAATATTATAATTATTGGAAAATACTTCAGAAAAAGAATTTTTGCTGCATGTTTGGTCAATAACTTTTGTCTGATGGATAATTTGCTGAGTAGTATTGAAACTATTTGTTTGATAATGTATAGAATTATGAAAATTTTTCACATAATAACAATAATCATTAAAAATATGCAAAGAAATTTTGAAAGTTTTTGCTAAAGGGTATTTAATAAGTTGCCAGTAAAAAATGTCACTAAGAAATGCCAGAGTAACTTATTGTAATTTTTACAGTATTATTGATAAAAGATTGTTTATATACATAATATTACTTTTTCATATACTTTCCAAAATCCACTACAAAAAATTATTGGATAAAAATCCAAAACCAATGGAATAATATTGTCCAAGAGATTAATAAATATGTATGCTTTAGGATCTTTATAATTATAAAAAAGATTTTGAACAGATTCTTTAACTAAAAACCAGCTATTAAAGAAAGTTCTAAAAGAAAATTAATTCAATATGGTTTAG